GAGACCAAGGATGCCAGCCCAGGCTACTATACCCAGCACAGCTTTCAATCACCATAGAAGGACAAAACAAGATATTCCATGACAAATCTAGATTTCACCAATACCTAGCCACAAACCCACAAAAGAACACATCCAATTTAAAAAAAAAAAATGGATTACAGACCTAATAAAAGAACTCTCAACAGAGAAATCTAAAATGGCTGAAAGACACTTAGGGAAATGTCCAACATCCTTAGTCAATCATAAGGAGCTCCTTTCCGAAAGGGCATCATTTTCTTCATCTCCAATTTGACTCTGGGAGTCAAGGTGGGGCAGTCAAACACAGGATGATGGGCATAGAAGGGCAGAGTCAGAGGAGACATGGGTAGACTGAGAGGGAGCAAGAGATGCTGGAGGGCAGGTGAAGCCATGAGCCACATGGCAATATATAGATTAATAGAAATGGGTTAATTTAGGTTGTAAAAGCTACTTCGTAATAGACCTGAGCTATTGGCCAAACATTTATAATTAAGTCTCTGTTGTTTTTTTGAAAACTGGGGGGTTTGCTTATAGTCCCAGAGGATTAGTGTCAATGAGCATGGTATGGTACAGAAGGCTGGGGTGAGAATCCAAGTTACATTTTCAATTCTAATTGCTGTGCCTAAGAGATTCATGAAACAAAAATGCCTCTGATCTGCAAGCGCCCTGCCCAAGAACAGCTAGCTCCTGAACTATTTGTTCCTGAACTGCTGGAAGCTGTTGTTTATCATGTATATCAATCCCCTAAACATGTTTGACTCACCTGCACCAATGTGCTTGATCATGTGTGGGCGGAAGGTTCATAGGCTGGAAGTGCATCAGGATATATGCTTGCCCATGATTGGACCTGATGGGAAATGCAATGGATTATGGGTTTTCCTTCTTAAACTGCTGCAAACTGTAAATCTGAGCCATTTTCCCAGGAACCTGGGAATGGACCTGGCCATTATTTAATTAAAGCTTGCTTGAAATTTGGCTTTACAGCGTGGTAGTGGTCTTATTCTCTATTGGTGGGATTAACACAGGCATGGCTCTGAACAGCAGCTGAGACGTTACCTCCTGATCACAAGCACAGGCAGAGAGAGAGTGTTAACTGTCAGGAGCTTTTGGAACCTCAAAGCCTGCCACCCAAGATCACACCCCATCCAACAAGGTCATACCTCCTAATCTTTCCAAAACAGGCCATCTAACTGGGCTCCAAACATCCAAATACAAGAGTCAATGGGACCATTCTTATTCAAACCACCACTGTCTATGAGTCCTATCAATGGTTCCAAGGACTATGGTAGTAAGCCTGGACGAATGGGCACCATCTCTTCTTCACTGTCTCAGCAGTTACTCTTGCACAGCACACACTGTGCAGTCTGTTTCACTGCGGTTTTCTTTTGAAGGGATTCACACATGCACATGCTCACTGCTGCTATCTCACACCTAAAGCCACAGTACCATGTCTTTCCATTCCTCTTTAAATACAAAAGACAAGACAAGCTTCTATGCTCAGGTAACCTTCACAAGGCTAAGTGCAAAAGAAATACTGTCTTGAGGACTCTAACAACTTCAATTTCACTGCCAGGTAATTTATTGTATTCATCATTGGGTCTGAAACAGGAAATATAAACTCAATTTTGAAGTTTGTGTAATGTGTAAAAACATTCTAAAAGAAACCATTCCAGTATTTTATCAAATTCTGTTAAGATTACGCATACAGGACAGTCATGGTAGTGTGCATTTTTTTTTTGTTTGGTTTTTCGAGACAGGGTTTCTCTGTGGCTTTGGAGCCTGTCCTGGAACTAGCTCTGTAGATCAGGCTGGTCTCGAACTCACAGAGATCCGTCTGCCTCTGCCTCCCGAGTGCTGGGATTAAAAGGGTGTTGTGCACTTTTAATCTCAGGCAGATCTCTGGGAGTTTGAGGCCAGCCTGTTCTACACAGTGAGTTCAAGGAAAATTGGGGCTACATGGTGACACCTCGCCTCAAAAAATGCAATTACACTCTCTTTCCCATGCTGAAATAACATGTGAGATGTTCAGACTTGATGCTAGACCACATGCTCTTCAGTGAAGACCATGCAAAGTCATTAAAAGTAACTTTTCTTAAGACATCCAATTAGAGTTTGAAAAACATACCTGATGTGATTTTATAACAAAATGCAGTTTATAGGAATTAAGATATGGAAAACAGAATTATTCAGCATTTGTGAAGGACAGACAAAAATGTAAGTTTTGTTAGTGTACAATGAACAAGACAGGTTTTCTAAGAACAATTTTCATTTTCATCTTCTATCTGTATTTATTTTCTCCACAGATTTTATGGAGGATGACCAGGTATTATTTCTGTATGGACAGAATGTAATGGTAAAAGTAAAATGCTACAGATCCCCAGGGGCTGCAGAGGCAAAAACACAGCGGGTCCCCAAGCTGTAGCAGTAGGCAACAGGTTCTGAGAGCAGTCAGTCCCAGGCATGGACAGCGCAGTTCCCCGAGTGGCTGCAGCAGGCCATGAAACCATGCTGCAGGTGCCAGAGCAGGGGCAGCCACTCCGTCACAGCGAGCAGTCACTAATTAGCTGGCTTTGCCAAGAATTTTCAACGAGAAATGCTTATAGTTTGCTATTCCTTTGAACCAGGTCTCATCACATAGCCCTGGCTACCCTCAAACTCAGAGCTCTGCCTTCTTCTACCTAGTGTTGGAATTAAACGTGGGCCAAAACCCACACCCAGATCCGAAAATGGTTTCTTGCAAATATTTTGGACATGCCAAGCATAGGTGGTGCACACCTTTAATCCCGGCACTTAGGAGAAAGAGGCAGGCAGATCTCTGAGTTCAAGGCAGCCTGGTCTACAGAGAGAGTTCTAGGGCAGCCAAGGCTACACAGAGAAACTGTCTCAGAGAAACAAAAACACCAGTTTTCTTTGGAGGGTGTAAACATATCATACCCACCTCACGTGGAAGCATATTCCTACTTCTACTCAAGAAAGTTTATCTGCATATGTGGTATAAGTTTCTTGGGGCAGAAATGGTAATGTTGAGGGAATCTCCCTCACGTGAGTATTCCAACAGCACTGACGTGGAAGAATAATATACTCACCAGTGGACTGAAGCCAGGCTGATTCCTGAAACACTTCAGCTTGTATTCTCAAGCTCTAAAACCATACGGTGGGGCTAGCAAGCCAACAAGTGGCACTTTAGTAGTTAGCTGGGAGCTTTTGTTTTCCAAATGCCTATGTTCCAGCTGACAGGGGTCACATTCCTTACAACCACGAGGTTTCTCTCCTGCGTGGATTTTCTGATGTGTTCTGAGAGATGAACACTTGGAAAAGCATTTGTCACATTCACTACATTTGTAAGGTTTCTCTCCAGTGTGGATTCGGTAATGGACTTTCAGGTGTGACAGCTGATAGAAGGCCTTACCACATTCTTTACAATCATGAGGTTTCTCTCCAGCATGGGTTTTCTGATGTGTTCTGAGAGATGAAGGTTTGGCAAAGGATTTGTCGCACTCCTCACACTGATAGTCTTGCAGCATGAGTACACTTTGTTGTGTCATTACTAAGGCCAGAAAACCTATTGTTTCACACATTTCCCCTTCCTCGATTGCCTTCTGATCAAGGTAATAAGGTGAAATTATGTTTGGTAACAAGCAGAACACAAAATGTTCTAAGTAAACCACTAAATAAATCAGTAAATTAGTATCTAACGATAGGTCTTTTCTACCTTACTCGACTTCACTTTTTGTTTTTCGAGACAGGGTTTCTCTGCATAATTCTGGCTGTCCTGGAACTGGGTCTGTAGAGCAGGCTGGCCTTGAAATCAGAGACCCACCTGCCTTTGCCTACCAAGTGCTGGGATTAAAGGCGTTTTCCACCACAGGCAGGCTCAACTTTAATATTAATGACGCCTTGCTAACGGAGTACCTGCTGTCTGTTTCCCCAAAGAAACTCCTTTTTCCAGGGCCAGGCAATTAGACAAAAGTCTCTATTCCCTCAGGGGTTTGAAAAAAAGTTCCTACTGGCTAAAATCCAGCAAGAGGAATGAGTGGTTCTTCCAGTAATGTATGACTGTGGTGTCTACTGACTTGTCTAGGCTCCCGCAGTTCAGGCTCACTAGTTCCACCCCACCAAAGAGCCCCTTTCCCCCATTCCTCCTGGAAATTTTTCACCTGTCACCACTTCTAAAGAGCCTTGGCAATTTGGAATAAACTTTTCCCTTTTCACCCACAGAGAGGCTATTTTGGTTTCTTTACTGCACCCAATTTCATTCAACAGCAGCAGCAGGCGGCAGCAAGATGCAATGGTGGCACCTGCAAGTTTCTGTGACCCCCAGAAGCCTACCCATGGAGAAATAAAACCGAGTCCTAGGACAATACAGTTGAGTACTTCAACATTTATTACAAATAAAAAATAATAACTTCTGAAAGGGGAGGGTTTCCATGACAGGATTCTGTTCAAGTAAGAAGAACTGGTGTGTATGGGTATGTGTTTTGTTTTTTGAGGCAAGGGTTTCTCTCTGTATGTAGCCTTGGCTGTCCTGGAACTCACTCTGTAGACCAGGCTGCCCTTGAACTCAGAGACTTGCCTGACTCTGAATCCCAAATGCTGGGATAAAGGCATGCGCCACTACCAGCCAGCGGAAGAATTTGTTTTAAAATGATTCAGCATGAACAGGAAGTCAAAAAAAAGTTCTCTTCATATGCACAGAAATGTCCAAATTCTTGGCACTGGAACTGTCATGAACTAGCATAGTTACTGAACGGTCATCAAACAAAGGGCTTTGAACTGTGCAAGTACCTGTGTCTGACCCACAGAGCATCTGAAATTGGCATAAGTCGTCTGTCCAGAGCTGGGTGGTGGTGGCACACACCTTGAATCCCAGCAATTTGGAGGCAAAGGCAGGAGGATCCTTGTGAGTTTGAGGCTAGCCTGGTCTGCAGAGTGAGTTCCAGGATAGGTTCCAAAGCTACACAAAGAAACTCTGTCTTAAAAAAAAAAAAAAAAACCCTAGTGGCTAATTCTGACTTTGGAGCACCTTAGCACTGCCGCACCCCCCTTCCTGGGAACCAGGACCCTAGTAACCAACCACATGTGCATGGGAGCTTTGAGTACGTTCCATCCCCTTTGTAGTCTTTCTTCAATAGACCCGGACCCTGGAACTGGGGTGAGACGACCTGCAGGTTTCCTCCTTGTAACCGCCATAACATTGATCAAGTAGAGTTAGCTGACCGTTGTATGAACTAGTCAAAATAGTTGACAAATGATTTTTGGACTTTCCCTTTGATTCTGTACTACCCCCTCCCTGATTTTGTGGTTTTTCCTTTAAAAGAGCTTGTAATGGACAAAGCAGGGGTCCTTCTCCTCTCGAGGCTGAGGGACCTCTGCCGTGGCAGAATAAAAATTCCTCTTGCTATTGCATCAACAGTGCTGTGAGTGTCTCTTGGGATGACCTCCGCCTTGGTGGGGCTTTAGGGCCCAACATTTCCTATCTACCTAACTTCCCCGACACTTTACTTGGGTTCATCAGCTCTGATGTAACAATTGATGCAAATTATCATGAAACCGTTTGCTAATAAGGATGCTTTTCAGTGTAATCTAGCCAACTCTACTGTACTTATGTCAGCCAATTTCAACACTTACAATACAAGAATGTTTCCAAAGAACATTTCCCTATTAAATCAGAAAATCATATTCCACTGAAATACATGAGAATTTTGTGTATGCTTAGTTTTCTTCTTTGTAATACACTAACTTATGATCTTAGAATTTTCCTTCACTATAAACTCTTGATGTTTTTTTTAAAAATTCCTTAAAGGCTTTCACAAGTTTCCCATGTTCATAATGATTCTCTGATGTAGAGACTGCAGTGGTCCATACAGACAGCTCTAGAAAAAGTATATGCCACATTATTTACTATAGAAAGTTTTCTCCCCAGTGTGCATCTTCTGATGTCTTCTAAGGTTTGCCAGTGTAGTAAAGGATTTGTCACATTCACTACACTTGTAAGGTTTCTCTCCTGTATGAATTCTGTAATGGATGTTAAGGTGTGATAAATGATAGAAGGCCTTACCACATTCCTTACAACCATGAGGTTTCTCTCCGGCATGGATTTTCTGATGTGTTCTGAGAGATGAACACTTGGTAAAGCATTTGTCACATTCATTACATTTGTAAGGTTTCTCTCCAGTGTGGATTCGGTAATGGACTTTCAGGTGTGACAGCTGATAGAAGGCCTTACCACATTCTTTACAATCATGAGGTTTCTCTCCAGTGTGAATTCTCCCATGGCTTTTAAGACAGGACAACTGAGAAAAGCCCTTACCACATTCTTTACATTGGTAAGGCTTCTCTCCAGTATGGGTTCTGTAATGGACTTTAAGGTATGATAACTTATAAAAGCACTTACCACACTCTTGACATTTGTAGGGTTTCTCTCCAGCATGAATTTTCTGATGTATCCTAAGGGTTGAGCACTGGGTAAAGGATTTTCCACATTCCTTACATTTGTAAGGTTTCTCTCCAGTGTGGGTTCTGTCATGTTTTCGAAGTTGGGACAATATATAAAAGGACTTACCGCACTGCTTACATTTGTAAGGTTTTTCTCCAGTATGAATTTTCTCATGTGCCCTAAGAGATGAGCACCGGGTAAAGGTTTTGTTGCATTTCTGACATTTATAAAATTTTCCAGCATGCATGTTCTGATGTTCTCTAAGAGAAGAGCAGTAAGTAAAGGATTTGTCACATTCCTTACATTTGTAAGGTTTCTCTCCAGTATGGATTCTCTCATGTTTTCTAAGTTGGGACAGCATATAAAAGGACTTATTACATTCCTTACATTTGAAAGGTTTTTCTCCAGTGTGAATTTTCTCATGGGCTCTAAGAGATGAACAGCGGGTGAAGGATTTGCCACAGTCCCAACATCTGTAAAGTTTGCCCTCATGGATGTTCTGATGTTCTCTAAGCGATGAGCAGTAGGTGAAAGATTTGTCACATTTCTTACATTTGAAAGGTTTCTCTCCGGGATGGATGCTGTAATGGGTTTTAAGGTCAGACAAACACTTAAAGGACTTGTCACACTCTGTGCATTTCCACAGTTTCTCTCCAGTAAGAGCTCTCTGATGTGTACCGAGGCTTGAATAGGTCCTCAAGGATTTTTCACATTTCCTGAATTGGTGTGATTTTTCTCCATTATGGATTCTTAGCTGTACAAGTTTTGGGGTAAAGCCAAAATATTTATCATATTCGTTATATTTATACACTTTCTTCCCTATGTAGATTCCATGACTCTGACTTATGTTTGAAAATAAACTTAAAGATTTGTCAACATCTTTATATTTGCAAGGTTCTTCTCCAGTGTGCATGTGTTTATAGCTACTGAAGTTGACTGATTCAATACAATCATCCCTGTGGTTTTGTATCCATCTGTCTTTGTAGCAGTTTTCTGTAGTATTATTGGTTTTGCATAGTGTCCATTTGGAGGATTCATGAAGCATTTTGCCAAGCTCATTACATTTACGTGACTTCTGTTGAACTGCCACATGCTCATCGATAGTAAACTTTGAGTCTTCATCCAAGACCTCCTCTGATTCATTCAACATCCGTTGATTCTCTGGAAAATGAGCACAATTAGGACCAATAGGATTTGATGCATGATGAAAGAGATTCAGTATCTGAGTTCTCTGAGATAAGTACATCAGTCCTTTAGAACAGAGCTCTCAGGAAGGCACTGCATGGATGCCCAGAAGATCCTCACTTCGATCTCCATCACAGATAGCAGACTTTTTATCCCTGTCCAAATTTCGTATGCAAAAAAGACAAATAGTTGAAGAAACATTGGGAACAGAGCTCTCTGGTGGATTATGTTTGAAATGTTACTCTGCCTAATCCCCCCCTCCCGAAATATTGTAAATATTGTAAAATTCAAGCTATCCCCACTTAATAAGAGTACTGGTGACACATGCATACTCAGAATATTCAAATGTCTTTTAAGTTTAAAATTTTTCTCATAAATTTGACAGAGCTGGGTGTGGCAAAACATGCCTTTAATCCCAGAAGTTCTAAGACAATGGCAGGCAGATCTCTGTGAATTCCAAACCAGCCCGATCTACATGACAAGTCCCAGAACAGTCAGAGATACATTGAGAGATCCTGTCTCAAAAATAAACAACAACAACAACAAAATCTTGATAGAGAGTTTTTTCTTGTTTTGTTTTCTTTTTCGAGAAATGGTTCCTCTGTGAAACAGTCCTGGCTGCCCTGAAACTCACTCTGTAGATCAGGCTGTCCTCAAACTCATAGAGATCTACCTGCCTCTGCCTCCCAAGTGCTGGGATTAAAGATGTGTGCCGCCACCGCCTGGTGAGACTTTTTTACCCCTAAAGACACATTAAAATCACCAAAAGTAATGGATGTAAAGAAAATACTTCTTGTTTTTAAACTTAGTGATTTATTTTTACTTTATATGCATTGATGGTTTGCCTGCATGTGTGTCTATATAGGGTCCCCTAGAACTGGAGTCACAGACAGTTGTGAGCTGTCATGTATGTGCTGGGAATTGAACCCAGGTCTCAATAGTGCTCTTAACTATTGAGCCATTTTTTCCATCCTGGAAAAAAGAATACTTTTGCTAAATTGCGTGGTAATATTATTTTTCTTTTTACACTGCATTTATTTAACTTTGTGAAGCTGTATTACTGTGACTGTCTAAAACACCTGATGGTCCTAATAAAGGTCAATAGCAGCCAGGCAGTGGTGGCACGTGCCTTTAATTCCAGCACTCGGGAGGCAGAGGCAGGTGGATCTCTGTGAGTTCAAGGCTAGCCTGGTCTACAAGAGCTAGTTCCAGGACAGAATCTAAAGATACACAGAGAAACCCTGTCTCGAAAAACCAAAAAAAAAAAGGGGGGGGGAAAGAAAATCACTTATAATCACTGATTATTGGACTGAAGACAGGTAACCGAAGACTATGAATGGTTACTGAGACAGAATCCCTTTTTGTTATAGACAAATAAAATTGCACTGGCATCCTAGTAGTGCTTTCGAGATAACACATGTGCAACGAGAACAATGTCTTCTGGCATTTACAGTAGGCTGCATCTTGAGAGCATTGCACTAAGTAAAGTTATCAAAGAGTTACTTCTAGCGAGACAGAACACAGCAAAACCCTTTCCTGTTTTACCTTCCTCTTTCACTTGAGGCCCTCACTTCTGTCCTGCTCATTCACTCACCCCCACCTGGGTCGGCCACCATCTCCTCTCTCTTCACATTCCAGGGCACTTGGATTTGCTCCAGACATGGGACCAGGTCTGCCTTGCACACAATAATACCTGTATATAAGAAAGTGTAACATGATTTTGCTGGATCCTATAGAACGTACCAGATAGCTAAAGAGATGACATAATACAAGACTCTAGGAATAATTTACCAACTGTTATATCATGTAAGAATCTTAAAAACATTTACAGGAAGTTCTAAATAGATGGCTCAATGGCCAAAAGGACCCAGTTTGGTTCCCAGCACCTGTGGTAGCTCACGCCCCTCTCTAGCTTCAGATTCAGGGCCTTGGCTGCCTCCTGATGGCTTAGTCAGGCACCCTCAACATTCATGTAATACAGGCTAACACCCATGCATAAAAAAGGTAAACAAAGCCTAAGAAATATTTAGAGAGCATTTTCAATTTGCAGACTGCTTCCTGTTAAGACTGAGTCAAATGCAAAGATGGAAATGGAACTTCAGGATTTGGTAGGAATATTATCAGTCTTGGAATACATCAAGTGCAACAATGGAAATGGAACGTTAGGATGTGGATAGGATTATAATCAGTTTCTGGATGAATCAAATGCAATGATGGAAATAATACTTTAGGACGTGGGTGAAAACACCTGCTACTGGGTGTCTGAAGATAATGTAGACTTAAAAGGAAAGCTTCATAATGCCTCCAAAAGGGAAAACATGATGAAAACATCAAATACCAGGAGGAAGCATTAATTAACATTATCTCCCTAGGTTCCTATAGTTTCTAAGACAGCTACCCAGAGAGTCTCCACATCTACAAATTAGGCATATACCAAGGATCAGATACAAATTATGTGAAAGAAATATCCTCACCCACAGAGATCAGGTTGCTGTAATTCTCCAGCATCACATCAAGGTACAAAGCCCTCTGAGCAGAGTCCAGGCATTCCCACTCCTCCTGGGAGATGTCCACAGTCACATCCCTGAATGTCAACGGACCCTGAAATGAACATAAATTTACCAAGAGTAGAGTTCTTTCCTGGATACAAAGAACACAAGGGAAACTGGGCTATTTTTCTGCTGTAAATGAGGGAGCACAGTTATTCAGTAAGATGCTTTCTTGAGTGATTACACTCAAAAAATGCATTGTCTAACTGGTTACAGAGGAGATATATTCCCAGAAACAATATACTTTTAGGGCATATAAGATATAAATTCAAAGTCCGGACAGAGAAATATACTTTTTATCAAGGTTGGGTCCATTTCACACAGAATCACAGTGTAAGTATCTGAGACAGAAAATTTGTGATAAACAAAATTATGCTTCTAAATGCCACAATGGTAGACCTCGCTAGAATAGTGACACTGGATCAATCTTCTGCAGTTAGGTCTTATCGGACTGATTTCTAATAAGCTCTGTTGAGTTAAGGGTCTAGGATCAATACTGCAGCTCCAAATTTTGTATAGCAAAGAGGCAAAACTTGGGAGGCAGAATCTATGGATTAATTTAATGTCAAAAGATTTTACATGCCAGGTGTGGTGGAACACACCTTAAATCCTAGCACTTAGGAGGTAGAAGTAGGCAGATCTCTTTGCATTTCAGGTTTATATAGTGAGTTCCAGACCAAGGTTGCAAAGTGAGACTCTGTCTCCAAATAATAAATAAATAAATAACATAACATAAAGAAGTAAGTCTGTCAGAAAGTTTTGGTTTTCTCACAGTAAGAAGGGAGAAGCAATAATCCAAATCACCGACACTCCAAATATGCACCATATAATGAGATTGTTTTATGAGAATATTTTTGGCAACCATGAAGTACATATAAAAATCAGGACTGGGGGCTAAAGAGATGGCTCACTGGTTAAGAGCAGTGACTGCTCTTCCAGAGGTCCTGAGTTCAACTCCCAGCAGCCATATGGTGGATCACAACCATCTGTAATAGATCTGGTGCCCTCTTCTGGTCTTCAGGCAGAACATTGCATACATGATAAATAAATAAATTATAAATTAATAATAATAAAGGACAGCCAAAGATACACAGTGACACGAAAGAGAGAGAGAGAGAGAAGGAGAGAAGCAATGCAACTACAATCTGAATTTACTGACAAGAGCATCACTTTAGGCTAACAGTTCTCAACCTCCCTAACACTGTGACCCTTTAGTACAGTTCCAGGCTTGCCAAAGAGGTCCTGACCCACAGGTTGAGACCCACTGCTTTAGGCTAAGATGATACAAAGAACTGCAGTGCTCTGCACTCTAGATAGCCTAAGTACTCTGCATGAGGCTCAGAGACAGTGCGATATTGTCTAAGACAACCTCTTCCTAAATGCTAGAAATGATGCTAGGGGGTGCTGCGGGCATCTCAATGTGCACTTTCATAAAACAGCTTTAGGGATAGCTGATAGATTCCCTCAAACGGAGCCCCTGTGGAATATTGCTCTCTTCACTGATAAAGACATGCATCCATCCTCTGTAGCAATCGGGTATCAGCATATTTCTCTGATCATCACAATGGAAAACATTTTTAGAATTACAGGTCTTCAATCCATTTTCCTGTACAAATTCTACAGATGAGAAGTGGGCATGACACTGACCTGGGATGTATTTACTGAAGAACCAGCCATTTTTCCTCTTCTTGCACTTGTATTCATGGGTGTCAAAAAGATAAATCTGAAATTTATATTAAAAGCTGTTAGGAACAAAGTCATATACCACATAAAAAAGATCCAAACAGAATAACACCAAATGTCTTATCAATATTCCTACAGTTAGGAGACTATGAAACAATGGTTTTAAAGCCATGAAAACAACCATTAACCATATTAGTGCAACCAGACAACATGTCCCTAATGAAGGGACAGAGCCGATGTCATCATAGGCTGCTCAGCCTTCTCTCAGAGATCAGGCCTCAGGGAGACACATGGGGGTTGGCAGAAGACAGAAACATGGATAGACACGACTTGCAGAGTGAGGTTGAATATTTATTCAGGGAGTTATGGAGGGGGAAGGGGGAAGGGGGAAGGGGGGGAGAGAGAGAGGAGAGGGGGAGAGAGAGACAGAAGGGGGAAGGGGAGAAGTGGGGAGAGAGGCAGAAGCAAAGCTGCCGCTTTGAGAGGAAGATGAAAAAGAGAGCAAGCTCAGGTTGGAAGCTGAAGATCAGCCTGCCTCAGTGGATGGGGAGGGAGTGGGCGTGGCTTGTCTCTTAAAGGGACCAGGGACCAAAACCATTAACACCCTAGTCTTGAAAAAGAAAAACCCAAAAATTCTATGAATGTGCATAGCAGTGAAGAAGAAGGTTAGGCATAATTATTGTAGGTCACAGAAAAAGTCAAATCAATCAAAATACAAAGAATACTGATATTATCTGTTCCGTTCACTAGAAAGATTGTAGTCAGTATGAGTGCATTTTACCCGATAATTTCCAAACACAAGAAGCCATGATTGGCAGAGCGATAGGAAGAAAGCAGACAACTTCAGCATCCATCCAACATTCAGTGTCAGATAATGACATCTGAGGGAATACTGGTGTAGAAAGAGGAGCAGCAACATTGCAGGAAAAGGTTACACCCAGCAGCCCTTGAGACAGCCATCCACACAGAGAGCAGCAGAGAGGTCTCACAATCTTTTCAAACTTCAAGGAGCGTGCCCTACTGCATTCAAATCTTAGAAGTCACCAGACAGTGGGAGTGCTCACCTTTAATCCCAGTACTCAGGAAACAGAAAAAGAGAAATCTAAGAAAAAAAAAAAAAAAAAATAAAGAGAAAAAAATAAAAAAAAAAAAGAAAAACAAAGAAAAAATATAAAGAGAGAGAGAGAAAAAAAAAAAAAAGACACTCTCTTCTCTAATGAAGCGAAAAAGCAAGTATGAGAAGCAGATGGGAATTAGAAGGAATACAAGAGGTGAAATTGACAGCTGGCATGTTCTTATTCAAACATGAAAGGTTTGCCTTCCCTGAAGTTTCCAAGGACTTCCTATCAAAATCTTCATGGAATTTTTGTAGAAATAAGGTAATCCAAAAGTGTTATTAAATTGAGGGAAGCCACAAACATTTCAAAGAATCTTCAAAGGAAGATCAAACCCAGAGGCGATTTGAAAACCTGTTAAAATTATAGCAATACAACCTTTGAGTGTTGCCCTGAAGACAGACAGGAGGTGTCAATGGGACAATGTATATGGAACTTAATACTGTAGAGAGATTCTAAGCAATTCTTATCAAAATCCTGCAGGCAGACTGAGCAGTAGTGGTGCAGGCCTTTGATCCCTGCCAACCTTGTGCAGTCAAGGAGAGCCTGATTTACAGAAGGAGTTCCAGGACAGGCTCCAAAGCTAGAGAAAACATGTCTCAAAAAACAAAAACAACAACAAAAAAAAAAATCCTGCTAGCGTTGTAGGAAGTGGAGAAATAACCCTAAAGGATTTTGAAGGAACTATAAAAAGCTGCAAAATTCTGAGAGCACAGAAAAATAAAGAGGTATCAATTTTCCTAATTTTATAATATATTATAGAAATGAAAACTAATTTTTTTAAGATTTATTTATGTATTTTATGTTTATGAGTGCTTCATGCATGTCTGCAGGCCAGAAGAGGGCAACTGATCTCAGTACAGACATTGTGAGCCACCATGTGGTTTCTGCCTATTGAACTCAGACCGCTGGAAGAGTGGTCTTAACCACTGAGCAGTCTCTCCAGCCCCGAAAACTATTTAATATTTATATGAAGGTATGATCAGTTATATGCATTCAAGAGAGGCAGCATCAATCACACACAGAGTCAAACAGAATTACATTTGCTTCTTACTATTCTTACATAGAAAGTATTCTGACACCTACAACAGGATAATCCTGAGATTATTCTCAGTGGAATTCTCCAGAATCATTTCTAATGAAACAGAATGTGACAAATCCGATTTCATGTCTGGTTTCCACTGTCACTCGAGCCCCTGACCAACCCCTGCCTCAATCAACCCAATATACCTGCTTCCTCTCTCTTCACCGTCCAGGGCTCTTTGTTCCGCTGCACAGGTGAGAGCTCTGGGTGATTAGTTAGCCCTGCACATGAGAAAGAGATTGTTCAGAAAGCATCTGGATTCCCAAAACAGTACTCTGCTCAGTAGATAAAGAGAAAACTAAACAGAGGATTCTACAAGTGATCCCACATCTGTCACCCAGGGTCAGAACACTAAAAAGGTCTATAGAGCATTTTCAGCTTCCATAACTTGAGCCCCACTTCCAATCACAGCCAAAGCTGAAGGGTAGGACTGGAAAGATGGCTCAGTGGTTAAGAGTACTGGATGCTGCTCCTCTAGAGGGCCAAGAATCAAGTCCCCGTACCCACACGATGGCTCACAAACATCTGTAATTCCAATTCCAGGAAACTGACCCCTATACTGGCATCTATAGGCACCAGGCATGCAAGTAAACACATGAGTAAATGAAAAAAAACAAAACCTCAAGAGTAGAAATGAAACTTCACGATTAAGGTGACAATACTGAGTCTCATGGAACAGAAACGAAAGAAACCTAACTATTCTGCACATGAAAAAAAAACGCGAAGAATAGAGAAAACCTCACAAAAATGGCCTGAGAATTTTTCACTATGAGTTGTGAGGTTCAACCAGGCAAGGCTCACCCACATGCAGCAGTCTGAGAAAGAATAGTACAAGAAAACTATTCTCTCCCACAGTACTCAAACTGCTGTGATTCTGTTGCAGAAATCTCTCTGGAATAAGCAATCTTAAACCGTTGGGAGTGAAAAAGTAGAGATGTCACAGATGACTGAAGCTGGGGTACCTCTGAGTTTCCATTTCCGGTTGTATTTGCATTTTATAATCTACAAGCACAAGGTGGGGCCAGGAGAAAAGTAAACAGGCCTTTGCAGAAGCACGAAGGCTTGGGGGCTTTTCAAATGCATGCTAAAGCATGTTGAAATGCACGTGATAAGGTCGCTAAGGGCAACAATTTATTGTTTCAGCAATTTCTCCAGGTTATTCTCTTCCAAGTAGCAAGATGAAGTCATGATTGGAAATGAGCTGTAAAATCAGTGCTTTATGTAATTCAGCAATTCAGTATCTAATAAATTGTCTTTTCTACCTTATTCTATTTCAATTCTCCAACATCCAGTCTCTGTACAAAGCCCTCTAAGCAGGGTCTAGGCTTTCCCCCTTCTCTTGGGAGAAGTCCACAGCAACATGACTGAGTATAACAAACCCTGAAATAAAAAGCAATAGTTTAAGTGGGGGTGGGGGTGGCGCACACCTTTAATCCTAGCATTCAGGAGGCAGAGGCAGGTGGATCTCTGAGTTTGAGGCCAGTATGGTCTAGAGTTCCAGGACATCCAGGACTGTTACACAGAGAAACCCTGTTTCGACCCCGGAAAGCAAGAGTTAGCCACATGTCCATGTGTTATTCTTGAACGAAGGAGACAAGAAAGTTAGAGACTCTTTTCTGATGTAGGTGAGTGGTCACAATTATTCAAAAGTTCTTTCTACTAAGGTGCTTGCTGTTCTATACAGAGCTTGATAACTGTGAACATACTCTGGCCTGATCGTCGCACTCTCAACAAGCATAAGGTGTCTTACTGGACTAGAAGATGCAACACTAAGACCTTCACATAACAATACAAATTATTGCTGGGCCGGTGGTGGTGCACGCCTTTAATCCTAGCACAGAAACAGGCGGACCTCTGAGTTCAAGGCCAACCTGGTGTACAGAACAAGCACCAAAGTCACAGAGAAACCCTATCTCAAAAAAAAAAAAAAATCAAAAAACAAAACAAAACACACAAAATATTGAAGCACTGTATTTAAACCACAGAATATATACATTTCAGATGGAAAATTAATGGAAATATCCTACAGCTTGCTAAAAATATATTTGTGATTCAAACAGATCTACAGTTGATCCTTATGAGATTGCTATCTAACAAGCTTTTTAGGTTGACAAGCTCTAAATGCCACTCTCTTGAATAGGGAAGTGATAGGACACGTTAGTTGAAAAGCTTGGGTAATTTAAAATTTAAGAGCTTTGTTCTTTCGGAAGTAATAAAAGAACACTGTTAGAACATCATCATATATAAATTCAATCTTGCGAGATCAAGAGACTATTTTGAAAATCTTAAAACAAACAAACAAAAAAAATCAGGATTAGTCCGGTTCACACGATATAAAATTTACCGAGGGCAAATTTTTGTGAGAGCCAGCTTCCTAAATCAGCAGCAAACAGCTCGCACCCCTGGTCCCTTCCCTCCTGGGTCCCAGCCCTGCAGCTCCTCTGACCTGGGAGGTTCCAGGGCCGCCGGGCTGCGGTTCCCGCCACCGCGCAGCTGACTTTCCCAGGCCGCCCCGCGGCGACTGCGGCTCCGGGGAGTTTTCGCGTCCCCACGACACCTCGCCAGGTCCTCCGCACCCAGGTCTGCCTTACTAAGGGGATGGCGAGTTTGCTGTGTCTTCGGGCTCCGAGCCTACTCTGGTCCCGCCCACCATGCAGTTTGCTCACATTCGCCCATCCCCACCCACTTACTTCCTCTTTCCGCCCCCGTTTCCCAAGCTGGCCCCGCTCTGCAGGTGTCCACCGGTCACTGGGCAACGCCCCTGAAATCGGCGACATTCCGGGTTTGGCTGTGAAACCGGGTTTCTCCTTTCACACTGTACTAGCAATGACCTGTGGGAAATTCTGCCGCTTAGGGAAAATTTCTTCTCTGCAGGCAGGTTAGCTGGCTCGGTTCATCAAGCTTAACGTAGACAATCAAAATATATAGGTCACTCTTGCCAGAACTGGTATCACAGGCCTTTAATTCCAGCACAAGGAAGAGGACAGGTGGATGTCTAAGATGGTGTGTGTGTGTGTGTGTGTGTGTGTGTGTGTGTGTGTGTGTGTGTGTGTGTAAGACATGGAACCAACAGGGGTATGGAAAGCTGTTTAACTATACTTGGCCTCAGCTTTGGACTAAGGTCTAATAAGCGGGCTGCAGCAAGTTGGTATGTCCTTGTAGAAGCTCGTTGTGCCCCTCAAAGGACTATAATTCTGGGACACTCAGTCCCTCCCTGCAAATTTAGGATGGGTTCAGGCTTGCATGGGCCTGCCATATGCTAAGAAGCACCAGAGAAATACCAGGAAAGTGGCCGAGATTTGTGATAAAATAAAGTCAACCCAATTTTCTGAACCTTCCCTCGGGAGTATCACTGGAAACGGATGGTTAACAGGGCTAATTTACCACCTGAAAATATATGATGAAAAGATTTAAAGGATGATATGCATATGGTAACTCCAGAGACTCCAGATATTCTGTAGAACAGTAGTCTTTACTTGGCACAGTCTGAGCCTCAGGGGGCATTAAAAGCCCTTAATATACAACAACAACGTAAAAGGACTTAGATATTATATTGTTAACAACCAGAAATCAGAATAGTGTTGTAGACATGGTTTCAGGAACTCAAAGTCCAAACCATGAAACAGAGAAACCTCAAAAACATTAACCCCCCCCCAAAAAAAAAGATT